AAATGTTAAGAGCTACAGAGAAAATGTAGTTCATAGTGCGTATAGGGTAAAATGAAATTTCCAATTGGAGTTGACTTTCCAGTTGGAGAGACCCAAAGAACGTGAGAAAGATAACTTTGTGCACATGTGGAAAACAAAAATGGGGGTAGAGGAAGCAGCCACTTAGCCCTAAGACAGGATTATGCCTAATATGTTGGAGGAAGAGAAAGGAGCCCCATATGATTGAACAACTATAAGTAAACAGCAAGTTGTTCTTGTTTGTTTTTAAGTTACTCAGATGTATTGCTTGAATATAACCATAGATAAGGATATCTCTCTGTTCTTATACTATAATCTTCTCTTTTTTGCCATTTATAATTTTTTATGTATTTTCAATTTTTTATTGGTATATTTTTGTATACTTAGTGTTTACAATCCTTGTGAGGAGTTGGTACATGTACATAATGCATTTTAATTACTTTTTCCATGGTTTCCCTCCTCTCCCTTCATCACTAATTGCTGTTATCTCTTTTCTATTTTGCTCTATATTTATATTTTGGCTGTCTTACATGAGATAGTATATGATATTTAAGAATCTGTGTCAGGTTTATTTCACTTCATGTTACAGTCTCAGGGTGCAGACATTCTTCTACATGATTCAAGTTTATCTTTCTTGGTGGCAAGAGTAGTATTCCATTATGTATAAGTTCTTCACTTTCTTTACACACTCAGCTATTGATGGACATATAGACTACTTCAAAGATTTGGCTATTATGAATTGTGGTGCAACAACAGGAGCATGTATTTTATAATATGACATCATTAACTTTTTGGAAAGGTATCTAGAAAGGGAATAGTTGGATCCAATGGAAATTTCTAGTCTTCTTCTTGAATGATTGTGACTCTTACAATCTGTTTTTAATATTAAGGTTATCTAATTTTTTCTTTTGTTTTATTCTTGGGGACTTCAACCCAGGCTTATCTCCTCTCCCATTTTACAATTTAACTTACTTTAGTTTAATGCAATATCAGGTAATGTAATAATTTTGAGACAGGATCTTGCTAAGTCACTAAATTGCACAGGATAGGCTTAAATTTGAGGTCCTCTTGCCTCAGTCTCATAGAGTACTGAGGTTTCAGTCCTTCACCACCATCCTGGCTTATTTTCTTTTAATATAAACTAGAGACTAGAACTAGAGCAGTTCATTGCCTTCAGAGAAGTTATTAATTCAGGACTGGCATGCCATCACATCATAGAAAATAAATACATAATCCAGTCCATGAATAAAACCTGTTTGGCAAAGATATCATTTTCAGATTCTTCTACGTGATATGTCTTAATGATGAATGGAGAAAATGTTAGATGTGGAGACTGTGGCCAGGGATAGATATTTGAGAACTGTAAAGACCAATCTTTGAAACGTTATTTTATATTTCACAGGCACCCCAGGCTGGTTGCAGCTGATATTCTCAGCTGTGAACATTTGTACATGGACCATGGGGTCAACATGCTGTTCTGTCTGTGGCTAGAACATCTCCCTCCACGCCACTGCGCTATGTAGAGAACAAAGTTGTAGAGAGTTCATAGCTTTTTATGTAGGAGGGCACTTTAGAGAAGGAAACTCACCTTGCATTATGTCCCACATGGCCCCATTGAGAAGTCACTTATAACAGCAGCAGAGAAGTTGGAGTTGACACTGTCTGTGAGATGTGACATGACAGTTTTCTGGGGCTACAGACTGGGAGTGTAACACCGGAGTATAAAAGTCATGGGCTGTTCTCTGAAACCTTATGTCTTCCTAGGACATTCAAGGCCTGACTTATGCATGTTTGGTAGGGCGAATGGAGATCAAGATGCTCAGATTCTGGCACCCCCTCTGAGGCACATGTGAAAGCTCTCAGGTTAGCAGACATGGAGATGAGCAGTTGAGGCCAAAGCCCTTCTGACTACACGTCAAATTACTTAGATATCTATTGTTTACTGAAACCAATTTGTCACACATCAAGGGAACTGAAATCTAGTGGAAACATGCTAGAGATTCCATCTTAGCCCTTCAAGGGTTTGCAGGCCAGGGTAATAGAGACAATTAGAATTCTAAGGAACATTTAACAAAGTAATAAAAAATGAGAACTAAAGAAAAATAATGAGACTATCAAAACTACTAAGGGTTCAGCAGAATTCTATAATAAGTTTTTAATGACACTAGTTAAATTTTTCTGCAGTCAACTCCTATTTCAGTAACTAGCTTCCAAGCAGACAACAGTTCGGCTTATCCTGTATTTACTCATACACAGTCATGTAGGCATAATGGGATGTCCATAAAGCCAAGGAATCTTTCAACTGGGCGAAAGAATATTTGCAGTTTGCTATAATAGCATACAAACTTTACAGGCAGGAGAGTGAAGGTAAAGAGAGATTGATAAGTGGAAGGAAGAAAAGAAGCTAGATGACAAGCCAAACAAACATTGCATTTGGAGTAACAGTGAAAATGAAAGAGACAAGAAGACAAGTTTGGGACAGATGATAGGGCAGTGGAGTTTAGAAATGCAATCAATGTGCATTTGTCTTGGTAACTTTTGGTTTTCTGGGACAACATACCTGATACCAAGAACTTAAATGAGGAAAGGTTATTTTAGGTCACAGTTTGTAGAGGGTTCAGTTAATAGTCAACTGTCTCCACCATAGGATGGCATGGTAGAGGACAAGTGGTCTATGACAGGTAGCAGGAAGCGGGGAGCTTGCATTCTTTCTTTCCCTTTATATATCATCCAGGCTTCAAGCTTAATTGTTGGTGCTTCAACCATTAGGTAAGTCCCTCACCCACAACTATGCTCAACCAATCAGTGGGCTAATTTAATTGTCACACACTGTGATCCAGTATCACACACATGATTCTGTCCCTTCCATAAACTTCCACCTATGAGAACATGAGGCTGTGGGGAGACATATAGATATAAGCTAGAACAGAATTGTTTGCAGCTAACCAGTAATAGACAGCGAATATCTGATTTGGTTTGCTTGGACATATTTCACCCTTTTTCATGACTAAGACAAATTGCTTGAGTACATAAGAGGATGTTCACTTTACAAATGACTCTCCAATTCATGTAACATTGGAAATCTGCCTTCCTTTCTATGCCTAGATCAGTAAATCATGGATGCTACTTTCAAGTCTTCCTATCCCTCCATTCTCCCACTCCTTGTTGCATAAGTAACAATAACCTTTTTCTGCTCTTTGAGATTATATGCAAGCTAGTGAAGAAGGCAGAAAGTCACCTGGAAGAGTGGAGAGCTACAGAAAGGGCCTCTCAGGTTTAGTGCGCAGTAATTGCTGGGGCCTGGCAGAGGCTAAAGCAATGCCAGCCACTTGCTTGTGGCTCTACTCTGGCTGTCTTGAGGGAGACAGGGTGCTGGACATGTCTGGTTGGATGAGAAGCACTGCAAGGACAACTGATCACTTCCACAGGCCTATTATGCCTAACCCTAGGGACAAATAGATGATGGATATAGCAAAGTGATGGTGTAAAGTCCTGTGGGAAGTACAAACAGGCTGAACTTAAACTGAGCATCCTGCTAAAGCAAAGGACACAGAAAAACAGCCTCAGTTGAACTGTAGGACGAATTCCAGATCCTTTTGCAGAAGCTCTGGCACCCCCTGTCTGCAGATAATTATTTATTTTAGGAATGTGGTACTGTTTCCCCAGTCACGTGTGTCAATAAGGAGGTTATGTTTTTCTCCAAGTTAAACACAGTATCAGGCAGCAGGTTCTCTGAACATCACCAGATCATACTCCCTTGGCAGCACCTCTGGAAACAGAGTGCAGAGACAGTTGACCTACAACCCCACCTTATAGCAGAGCAGATGCTTGCTCACAAGGAGAACTTCATTGCAAGCAGTATTTTCACATTTCTAGCCAACACACAGACAAACATTTTTCCAAGACTGGGAAGCAATACATTCTCTCCATTTTTGTAGAGTGCCACACCAAAAAAGCTGTCTTATGATTAAAGTCACTGTTCCCAGAGATTTTGAGCCCACTTCCACAAGATAACTGTACCCCAGCAGGATATGGTGATCCCAACTAGTGCTAAACTTTCCCTAAGGCAACCAGCACAGAGCAACCAACACATTGGCAATATGTGATAAAGTGTGCCATATCCCAACTTTTCACATTTCACTTCCAGGGGCCCTCACGCTCATTGTCTGTCTGCTATGTGTACAGTGTGGGTTTGCTCTTGAAGTCTGTAAGTTCTGTATTTCTCACCCAAAGCACAAAACATCATGCTACCCTGACACTGCCTCAGAATCAAGGTGTGCCCAGTGTTCACTCCAGAAAGTTCTCATTCACTGGATGATATAAAGTTGAAGTTATCTTTTCCTGAAATAACTGAGAAGTTCTTAATGGACTCAAAAAAATTAGCAAAACATAAGTAACTTCAAGAAGAAAACTTGAAACTTTAGTCTCAATTTACAACTGAGATTGAATAATAAAGAATATATTTTCATAAATATCACCTCTTACATTTTTCACTGTACCCCAACATCACAGCTGTGGAGCTCAGACCTTCAACTGATGGACTAGTGGTGCAACATTCCAGCTACAGCACCTTTTCATTCCAGCTTCAGCACCTTTTCAGGTTGCTTGTCAAGAATACAAGTGTAGGCTAAATTTACTTCTACATCTCACTGGCTCCAGACAGACCAGCTAAGACCATATAATTGTTTTAGGAAATAGTTTCCTCAGCAAGTAGCTTCCTTTTGCCACATGAGACAATTCATAGAGCAGTAAACACAAGATTAAATCTGGGTCACAAAATAGAGTCACTGCTCTCAACTTTCCTCACATGTTATTAGGTAGAAAACATATCTAAAGCGTAATGGTTTCCAGGGGAGAATACTAAGACTGCAATCTTGACATGAAAATATGTAAGTTTAAATTGTCAAGAACATGGAGAAACCCATTGTAAAAGATTATAACCATAGTGTGCTTTTGCAAGGTTAAGAAGATGTATTTCTTACCTGTAGTTGATTCTAAGAGGATCTTTGCCAAAGTCAAGCAGTCCTGACCCAGCAACCCGAAGGTCCACTGTGAAGAGCAGCAGTAGAGTGGTTAGAGGAATCCTGTGGTGTGAGTACTCAGTTCCTGCTAACATAATAGCGAACTCCTCCTTACAAAGCAGCAACTGAGCTGCATTACCTCCTATGTCAGTCCTCCGAATCATCCCCGCCTTCTTTTGTGTGCTTCTGGAATGGCTGAGTCTAGGGCTGAGAACTATTTCTCACCATCCTCGCAGGAGGCATCTGGGCTTGTGCCACCAGTGAGACCTCTTCTGGGGAGTTATTACAGAGTGTTTTGCAGTTTGTACCCTGAAAAAGATTAACCTGTGATTCAGCATGGAGATGTTTAGTAGTGGCTTCCTTAGGGTTTGGAATCTCCTCATGAGGATGCTGTAGCTGTATTAATTTTCTGTAGTAAGCCACTTCCTGGTTTAAACACCTAAACAGCTGTTAGTTTGATGTCTGACTTTAAAGCCCTTGGTCTCCTTGAATTCAAGAGAATTATACTACCCTGGGAAAAACTACATTTTGGTGAATGGGGCAAGAGTGACTCCCCACTTAAAGTTTCATTTTCTCCTTTTAAAAAGGTGAAACACAAAGAATAAAAAGTACTAGCAAAAAATTTGTTGATCAGGTAGACCAAAGCATATAAAAGAAATTACTCAGTAAGAATTAGCCTAAGGAGACAAAGTAATAGAAAAGACACACATAAGCCTCCCAATGAAGAGAATAGGGAAACTGACATAATTTTTCCAAAAAATTAATAAAAATTAATTTTAAAACATAGAAAAAGAAAGCAAAGAAAAATAAAATATGAACTACAAAAGAAGAAATGTGCCTCTAGAAAACTCAGGGGTCTATGAAGACAAGAAAGATGATATACTAACATAGAAACTAACACAAACCCCAAACGAATAGAACTAATATCTCATGTCCATTTTTAATATCTTACAGTGAATTTGGACTTTATGGCTCCTTATCACAAATTATTATTATTGGACAATGAGGAGACATTTCCAAAATATCTTAACTTCCTATTTCAAGTAGAAATCCCTTATGTAACTGTTCTGAGAAGTTTTATATGTCTACTCCAAAGAGTTCAGCTCACAAGAAAACTATTCTATGAGATCTGTCTCTCTCCCTATCTCCCTTAGTCTGTCTGTCTCTCTCTCTTTCTCTCTCTCCCTTTCTTCCACCCTCCTACTCTCCCTCCTTCTCTCTCCCCCCTCCAGTCCCTATTATACCTCTGTCTGCTAGAGATTTCCACGTGGATGACCTAATAATCCATCCTAACCCACTCATTACATATGCTTAAAAAGAATGGACAGAGAGGAAGAGCAGACAAAGAAATATACATGAGATGCAACGTGACAATGAATTATGTCATGGAACTTACATAAGAAGAACAGCTGTGATGAGAGAGGTGAGATAAATTTTTTTTTCAATTTATAATAAAGAAATAATATTTTGGAAGCAGATATGGTTTATCTAAGTGTGCTCTAGAGGTGTGTGGCTCATTCCCCAGTTTGGCACTATTGGAAGGTGGTAGAAACTGAGTTGAGGCTTAGTGGGAGGTTTTCAAATAATTGAGGTCCTTGTTCTTGAAGGGGACAGAGGGATCCCATGCTCTCCTTCTCTAAATTTTACTCCCTGACTATGAGGTAATTGTTCTTGCTCAGCCATGCAATTGTGACATGACATGCAGCCTTGCCATAGACAGAAAGTAGTGGGGCCAATCAGGCACAGACCAGATCCTCCAAAACTGGGAACTAAAATAAGTGTCAGGTATTTGCTATAGTGATAGAGAGCTAAGTAACATAGAAGCCATCACAGTTTGAATAGAAAAATAAAATCTATAGTAATTCCTCTCCCATAGCACTGTATTCTACTAGAAGACTACAAGGGTTATAGCATTCATACAAGAAAACAATATAAATGAGACAGAACATTTTAGAATATTCAAGTGATGTTGCTACAGGGCCATCTTGAATAGATAGAGAGAAAAGCTGTCCTTTTGGATTCAGACATTGTTCAGTGGTAGAGTGATCATGACTTTTTCTTCACCTGTGGGAATGACTCCACAAGTTGCTTTAGCAGCAGAAGATGGGCTGTCATTCACCTGTGGTTTCACCTGGGAGGAGGAAAGCAGACTGAGATTTGGATTGAATAAAACAGTGAAATAAGTCAGAAACTTAACAAAAATTTCCTTGTAAAATAGAACATTTTGGAGAGTTGTGAAATATTTATTGTATTCTTTTTGTGAGCTCTCTCCTGACTGGATGGTATGACAGATGACTCATTACAGGCTCAGTTACTCTCAAACAGACAGTGCAAGAGGACAGATCTCAGTGTTCCTATCTTGGGACTCTCCTGTTATTTCCACAATTACTGAGGATACTTCTGTTCTCTCCTCTTTTTTCTCTCTCACAGCTTCCCTCCTTGGTGGTTCCACAGGACACACTGAAACAACAAAGAAGTTTCTTGGTTACATCTATGACCCCGCAGAGGGAAAATGCTGATCTTAGAGTGCAGAATGTACAAAAGACTAAACATTTCTTTCATCTTCAAACACTTAGAGAAGTCCTATTAGCATAGGACAACGTGGTCTTTGACCCATAGTCTGGCAAATAGTTGTCACAAGAAATTATTGTTTTACAAGGAATACACAATAAATGGGAAAAAACAAAACAGGTCCAGCTTATCTAACCCTTATCTATCCCAAAAAAAGACCACATCTTTTTTTGTGATTTTGGTCTGTTTCCCTAAATATCTCTGTAGACAATGTCAATGTTTATAAATCATCCCTACATAGTTGCTGTTCCCTAAGATCTAGAAGTCAGTAGTCACCAAAGAACTTACAACTTTCATCTTACTTCCACAGCAAAGAGAAAACAATAGGTTTTTTTTTGCATTGGCTAATTAGGGAGTTATGACTAATATTGTCTGTATCAGCACCAGTTCTTTATCTCTAATACTCTATTAGGTTATAAGATAATCTGTATTTAGGTTCTCCCCATTTAGCTCAAAGCACTATTTATCTACAAGAAAAATCAATCTATTGTACTAGAGGCAGTGGTGAGAATAACTTAAGAAAATGTCACCAAAATGCCCATATTTTAGTAGCTCACCAAACTCCTCACGCTTTGGTTCACAAAATTAGTTCAAAAGCCAGTTGATATTTGAAAGAACTAACATCCACAGTGTAGGAAGAGAAATAACTTGCAGATTCCTAGATTTATTAGCATTTGTGAGGATATAGAGAGTTCTGAAAAATGCAATGAAAAGAGAACATTGTGGAAGAGAGATAGGAGGCTGCTCATGTTCTGAACTCTTAGAAAGGACAGCTATACTCACTTCCCCTTTCCTTGCCCAGTTACCAGGAGCACTGGGTAATAAACTGATGTCTCTTTGCCTTTCCTTGGGTTAAATGCCTATTCACAAATTGCTGGAATAAGAAGTTTCAGACAAAACCCCACATCTAACCTATTTAAAACCACTACACAGCTGGCTTTGAGATTTTAGGATAAAGACAGATCTCAAGAATATTATCAGAGGTTGGAACTCAAGCTTGAATCGACACAGTAGACTCATTTGTAAAAATACCTGAGTCACAGTGACCTCATGTAAAGTTTGCCAACTTCATTAAATTATCTATTCTCAATATAATATATGTAACATGATCAAAATATATGGTGAATGTTTAAACATCTATTATAATAAAAGACCCATTGCCATTCATCTTCCTCAGATTACCCTGTCTTTTTTCCAACATTCTTATCTCTTATTTTGGCCAACTTCAGAAGCAGTTTGAAAAAATCTTTTCTTTACGGGTGTGATCAAAAATATATGAATGGTTCTGTTGTACTTTTGAACACAAAGGCAGGCTTGCACAACATTAGGGTGTCCAGGATCTGGCACCATGGGACATGTAGATTTTCCTCAACATTAAAGTTCCATGAAGAGTAAATCTGAATTGATTCAGGACATCAAGGAACCAGGTAGTTCAAATAAGACATGACACAGGACTGCTTCAGAAAGTGGGAAGAACAAGGGTGCTCCAAATGGGGGGAGTATTTTGAGAGTGATTAAGGACAGTGAGTCTTTTATCATAATGTTTTAAATAAATACAAGCATTCACATGTTTTAAATCACTCCACATTTCATCATTTACACAAATGGTAGTTTGAGACTAGATATTCTGGTTGTTCACACCTAAGTCTATCACATAATTTGATTATATTTGGGAGTGTGACAAATTCAACTATACAGAATCATTCTATCTTTGAGTTTAAAAAAAAATTTTCCCTACCCCAAATATATATTCAGAAAGACACTTATTTGTAATATCTCAAAGCAACTCAATAAACTTTTACAGACAAGGCATGTTAACTTTACATGAGAGAAACCTGGGACAAGTTCATAAGAAATCTGGGACACATTCACAAAGAAAGAGTCATGGGAATGTACAGGGCCCCTGAAATCCAGAGTATTCCCTTTCTGTGATGTCACAAGGTCATAAAACAGAGGAAAAGAAGCAGAGATAACTTTTAAGGAAGAGGCAAGTCTCATAATATATAATCTGCAGGAATTGTGATCATGGGATGGGGTTGTAGCTCAGTGATTAAGATGATTGTTACAATGTTAAAAATCCTGAAACACAAGGAAACCAAACCAAACCAAACAACCAATGTCCCTGTTATCTACAGTAGTCACAGGCAAGAAGTGTTCAAAATCTCAAAAAGAAAAAATGGATTTTCACTATCACTGGGATTTTTGCATGAAGACCTCATTTTTACAAAGTGCTTCTTCCCGTTTCTCTATCACAAAAGTAAATTTATAGACATTCCCTGGAGATCACCCAGATTTTCTTTCATTGTCTAAATTAAACAATTCTGGCTTAGTAACTGAATCACTTAAGAGGGAATTTGATTAAAATAAATCCCAAGTAGGGATGACAAAAGAGAAACATTTCAGCCCACAAGAGTTAATGAGGACTCAGAACCAAAACTCTCCTTGAAAAAAGAATTTTTTAGAAAGAAGGCTCACAGCCCTAAAGCTAAGCATAGGGAAAAAAGAGTCATGCACAGAACATGAACAGGCTGCTTCACTGGACCTTGCGCTGAGCCTGGAATGCTCAGTTATCCAGCACACTGTCTGTGGAACAGACCAGAGTTGCCATGTATGGCCGGAAAAACCCAGGGGTGAGGTACAAAATGTGCTTACCTGGTTTTCCTGATAATCCATATTTATCTTTATGGCATTGCTATCTGTGTCCTTGGAAATATTACAATGTGGAGAACTATTGCACGTATGGAGGCAGTCTAAAACAAAGCACCCTTAGTCATAGTCCATCACCTGGAAACTTGCTCACACATCCTCATATTCCACAACACTCCCCATGTTGCTTTAATGGCCTGTTACACTCAGTCAGCTCAGTCAGGGCCAAGGTGCTTCCTCATGCTTGCCAAGTGCACCAATAATAAACTTCCTAATCCAGTCCTGTTCTGTGCCTTCTACCATATTTAAAAGTGTGATTTCTAAGAACTCTCAGCCTCCAATCACTGAATCATGGTGACTAGAGGGGAGCAGACAATATTTTCTTGTATCTCACAGTGTAAGACACATCCTCCTTCTACCCCATACACGCATTCTGTCACTAGAGTTACCCTGTGACTTAAGGCCCCGCCCTCCACTGTACTTACAATCTTTTATGGACTTGCCTGTGAAAACAGAAAAGCAAAAGGATATGAAACAAAGAAATGCAATAAATAGGGCATAGGCCCATGGAGAAACATGTGACTATGAACTGGAACCTGCTTCAATATCCACCACTGGGATACATGTGAGAGCATGTAGTTCTCTGCCCCAACTGGTTTTTTTAATCTCCTAGGTGACCACAGTGGTGAGGTCACAAGTTCTGACAAAATGAGAGTGATTAAGATCTGGAAGGGGATCAGCTCAGCTTCATCCCATTTGTACAAGAGCCAGTGATGGCCTCACAGCTTCACCAAACTGAAAACAACATAATGAATGAACAAGTGGGCACATTACCACACAGATACTCAGAGCAGCCAGCTGAAAAAGAATCACCTCCACATGTACAAATGGAAGGGCCTATTTACCTTGACTTCTCAGCCTTAGAGTCAGTCTTATTCAACAAAGTAAAATCTAATTTGGACAAACAAGAAAGAACATATTGTCCTCATGAATGATTTTATGCTATTTCCTAAAATTTCTGACATTTTCTCTTTGGGGTACTTATTCATATCAGAAATATTGTATTTATCCAACAGAGTACAAGACTGTAGACAAGAGTGTCAATAGGGAGAGAACAGTTTATTTTCCAAGATGGGGATTTTTATGCTCATAGTTAATTTTTTCACTGTTGAGGAAAAACAACTGACACCCAAAGTTAACGGAGTAAAGGTTTATTTTAGCTCACAGTTTGCAGAGTTTTTCAGTCCATAACTGGTTGTCTCCAAGGGAGGGTGACATGGCAGAGGGGGATCACAGAACAGGCAGGAGGCAGTAGAAGACAAGCAGCAACAGCAGCAAGCAACAAGTGACAAGCAGTGACCCTCTTTCTGTCCCTTATATC